AAATCTGCCCACCAGGGCATCTGTGTGACTCTTAGCCAAAGCAGTGACAATTTTCTAATCATAGAAATCTCAGAGGTGAAACAAAGCCAGACATAAGAAGCCATTTTGAGATACGTGAAAATACAGGACATAATTTTAAACCTCAGCTCTTCAGACTGCGAGGCTACGACGGCAAGGCGCCCTTTCTTCCACCGCCCATGTGAGGACAGCTAACGGGCTCTCGCTGTGCTGGTAGCCAGGGGCAGCTTTGCAGCATAGGTGGGCGAGTGTGATCACCTGGCCGTGGTCGCGATTGGCAGAGCTCGGCTGTAAGACCGTGCTGGGTTCTGGGTGGGAGAGGACGTGGTGCTGGGGCGTCCTGCACACCTGCTTAGAGTCTCCCTACTGATAATTTGAGATAGTTGGCAAATTCTCGGTGGCAGCCTAGGATCGCGTCTGTGCTGGTGTCAACAACACCACTTTTAACAGTTTGGGAGAAAGACATTAGCACTACGCAGTGCAGTCAGATTGCTTGGTGGCTCCACAGAACACACAACGAAGCAGAGCCCTTTCTGCTCAGGGCTTGCTCCTCTCTGAGAGAAGACTGCTAAGTCTTTGCTGGCTGCGGCGTAAAGTCTGTAGTGGAGAAACCCCTGAGCGAGGTGTCAGTACGCAATTAGTTTCCTGGTAAATGGGGTTCTCAAAACAGCCAGTTAATTAAAGCGACAGGCTGAACCCTCGGGAGAATGCCAGCGGTGCGTTTCTGTGAATAAAGTCAGGATGCACAACGCCTTCTGCAGGGCGCTTGATAAAAACACAACTCAGCAAGCAAGCTAACAAAACAAAAGGCATCAAATCATTTCTGGGAAACTGCTTCAGGGGACCTGAATGTTCCCATCTCTTTTTAAAATGACGGAGCCATAACCCTAATTTACCATCACCCCCTTGTCCCAGCTTGGAAACCTCAGTGTCACCAGCAGCTTCCCTTCCCTGCTTGTGTCCCACAACCAGCTCATCACCACGGTTTTCAGCACCGGCCCAGGAATAGTCTCAAATACACCCACTGCCACTCTCACCACAACCGGTGCTTGACCCTCGTCATCTGGGCTACTTGATGGCTGGTAAAAGGAATGCTGTTAGGCACGCTAGTCACGGCAGACACTCAGTCGAGGCTAACTGTGTATCTGCAACTGTCCCGGAGCAGCTGATCCTCATGCAGCGCGACGAGGTCGGGGCTGTGACTGTGCACACCCGGCTGCAGAGGCACAGCGACACGGCCGGCAAGGAGCAGATCTGGGGTCTGCGCTCAGGGGGCTGTCTCTAGCCTACTCCAAGGATGAAAGGATACTGCTTCTGTCTCAACTTAACCCATTATCATTTTTGTTACCTTCAGTCTTTTTAAATGCCTAATACTGGTACCTGGCTCAAGCCCAAAGCCACAGAGGAGCACACAGTGGCAAAGCCTCTCACCCAAGTTGCTCATTCTCTAGGCTTTTTTCTTCCTCTTCCTCCTCTCCCTCTTCTACTGGGAATGGGACTCAGGACCTTGCACTTGCCAGGCAGGTGCTGTGCCGTGGACCCAGGCCTCATTCTGAAGGTACTGACACGACCAGTTTCTTCGGTAGCCTCCAAGCAAATACTTGCAGGTTATTTCCTTGTGTTTTTTGTCTTTGGTATAAAACGTAGCGTGCTATTCTACCCTGTAGTACAACATAAATCTGGCACGTTGCCTTTTGTGTTTAACAACATGCACTGAAGATCATTCTAAGTCAGTACATGAAAACTGCCTCTTTTTCTTTTCTTTCTCTTTAGAGACTACAGACGGCTTATATTAGGAATGGACAGTTTTTTCCTGTAAGGGGCCAGACAGTAAATATTTCCAGCTTTGAGGTCCATATGGTCTCTGTCACATATGTTGCGACTGCGTCACTGTTTTCTAAAAAAAAAGTACAAATCGTTCTCATCTCCCACGTCCTACAGAAATAGTCTCCAGGCCAGACCAGACCAGGCCCGCGGACTCCAGGTCATCCCCAGACTCCTGATCTTTCCTGCCTGTCACAGCTGTGTCTCTGCTGCACACTGGGCACTGCTGGGTCCCCTACAGACCCCGCGCCTGGGCCAAGGGGTGACTGTGTGAACACCTCTCTGGGTCCCCGCACTCTGCCCGTCCAGCTCAGGCCTGCCATCAAGACTTACGCAGCTTCTCGGCCTTACTGCTGCAATGAACGAAGCTTCCTCCACCTCCAGCCCTACTTCCCGGCTCTGGACCATGACCCTGGGAGACTCTGGCCCATAAGGGTCATGTGGGCACCTCCAAAGGACAGTACGCCCCAGCAGGAGGTCAGTTTCCTGTCACAGTGCACATGGGAGCCCAGCCTGCTCTGTCCTGCTCTCCAACTGGTGCAACTGTACTTCCTGCTCTTGCCATCCTTCCACCCCTGCTGCAGCCATGTAAGTCCATTCCTACTTTGTCCCCGTGGCCAGCTCCTCCCCAAGTGCATGGTCAGCCCAGATACTGCCCCTGGTCTCTCCTTGCTCCACACCACAGTATCTCCACAGGCTTCTCCTTCCATCACTGCCTGCCCTTCTCCCTGGCCCTGTGGTTGTCTGCGATCACAGTCTCAGCCTGTGAGAATGCTGGCATCTCTCAGGCCCAGTAGGTTGTTTTACCTGATACAGATGGACAATAAATACTTTCTAGGGCTGGGATGTAGTTGAGCGGCATAAGTGCCTGCCTGGCAAGCTCAAGGTCCTGAGTTTGATCCTTGGTACGCAAAACCAAACCAAACCAAGCCACACCACTTTCCAATCAGATTGCTGGAGAATTTAAGTAATTTATTGCTCCTGCTGGGTCTCTCCTCCGTCTACATTTTTCTCTCCAGTTCTAGCATCTTCCTCACCAATAGCTCAACATGAATTTCTTCCTCGGGGCTTTACCCCTCTGCACATCTTGATGTTTTGGTTATTTCTTTCTTTTCTGAATGACAGACTCCTCCTCATCCAACAACACCCAGCTCATATATTACCTCTTCTGTGGAGTTTGATGTCTCTCCTCGCAAGGGTTACTTTTGTCCTTGGGTTGCTCTCAGAGGACTGCGGGCAGGTGCCCAGGGCGCCCTAGGTCACGGTGCCTACTGGCTGATTCATTCTCACCCTGAACGCCAAATGTCATGTGCGTTTGCTGTGCTTTCTCATTTCATGTACCTTGAGCTCCTTGTGGGGGGCGCTTGGGTGGGCTTTGGATGGCGAGTACGTCCACGTAAGTAGCACCTCGCGCCACGCCAAGGGCTCTGTGCTATCACCCCCTTTACCTTTCATGCTCGCCACACCGGGCAGGTACTGTTAGAGAAGATGGAGAAACTGGTAGCTCAGCAAGGTTTGAACCTCACCTGGCCTCTGGGACTGTGCACGTGGTGGCTGGCTCCTCAAAGGCTCTGTGTGCGCCAGCGTGGTGCACAAATCTGCCCCATGCTTCTGCTCTAGGCCCTGGGCACAGCCACGCTGGAGGAGGGGTCAGTTGATGCGCTCGCTGCCCTGAGCCCTGTCTTCCCTGGTGGGGCACAGATGGCCCTTTGCCAGCCAGGTGGAGGGGCTGATGACGACGCACCTCTGCACACCTGCGACGGGCCAGCCCTGAGGGCGACCAGATGTCCCAGGCCTGCTCCTCCTGCCACATGCTGCTCCGCCAGCTTCCTTTCCCGCTGAGTGTGGAGGGACTTCAGGGGTGAGGGGGTAAGGGGCCTACGGCCAAGAGGGCAGAGGGAGACAGGGTCTTTTCTCCTTTCCTGCTTGTGAAGTCGCTTTCTTTACATAAGCGTACTAGGGAGTAAGGGCAGCAGGCAACAGCGAGTACATCTTTCCCTCTAAGGAGAGTGAGATTCCCTCTCTAGCAGTGTCTCCTGGCTTAAAGGAGACAGCATGGGGGCCATGCTGCTATAGTCTCGCTTCTCCTTGTGTGCACCATGTAACTTTTCAGCTCACTGGGAAGATTCTGGCAGGGGAGTGGGTTTCAAACTTCAGGGCAGTGCTGCCGGGAGTGTGGATGTGGGACCGCGGCAGCACTGACCCCACTCCAGCTCCCTCCAGACGTGGCCACTCCAAGCACACACTCTGGCTCTCTGGGGAGCTTTAAGCACCTTTAAGTTTGAGAAGCCCTGACCCTGCATTGCCTGATTCACAGGCTGGGGACGAGATCCAGAGACTGAACAAGCACCATGGAGGTGCCGGCGGTTTCCTGAGCAGCTGCGGTTCAGAGGCAGTGTCACGGGGTGGAAACAGTCTAGGCACTATATCCAGCCTCGGGAGCAAGCCCCAGCTCTACTGCCTGTGAGCTGGTGACACTAACGAACACTCCACCTCAGTGAGCTCAGCTTTCTCAATTATGAAATGTCTATACCTTCAGCTGTGAGGTATGAAGGTGGCAACATACACCAAATTCCCAGGGCCAAATCCACAGCACATAGTAGGTGTCTTTTCGATGCTACAGGCATTACTATGCCCACCAAGCGTAACAGCGAGCTGGGCTAGAGTGCTCATTCCTAGCACAGGTAGAGAGAGGCCAGGCGCTCACCAAGGTGTGATGGTGGTGGTTTCATTTAAACATGGTCGTTTTCATTTAACATGACCTTAAAGATGCAAAGAACTAGATGGCAGCAGCTATGAGACTTTATCATACGTTAAAATCCCCCAGGAGCGAATTGAAAATGCTAATATCTTGGTGCTGCTTCCCAGGGATCTGTTTTATCAGGCCTGGGATGTGGCTCAGAGATCCTGGAGGACCCCGAGCGCAGGCCCTCCTACCTCACTGGACAATGGTGGTCTCCCAGTGAGCGCAGACCTGGACACACGCCAGATAGTGGTTGCTATGGGGACATGCACAGAGGAAACCGTCCGCCCCACTTGGTGTCCGAGCAAACCAAATGGCCCAGGTTTGCTCTGCTGCTGGGCCTACAAGGCAGATACAGGGCCTGGATGCTATCAGCAGCAACAGCAGCCCACAGGAGCCCGGATCAGTTCCATACCTGGGTCTCTGCTGCTTCGATGCTGTGGGAGAGACTTCCGTTCTGCACGGGTTCCGAAGCCTCACTGGACGGCGTCATCTCCACCTCTGTGCTCGTGCTGTTTGGGAGCTCGATTTTTTCTGTGACATATTTAAACACACACACACACACACACACACACACACACACACACACAAAGAAAGCAAACAGAATCAACAGGGAGTCAAGAGACACATGGAAAAGAGTATCCTAAGCGGTTAGTCAGAGGAAAAGATGGTTGTGTCTGAGAACTGGGATGGTGTTGGGCAGCACAGCAGGGGATTTCTGCCCCCTGCCCCATGCCACCCAGCATGTGGCATCTGCCGCTGCCCCAGGCAGCACTCTGCCTCCTGCTCTGCCCTGCTGCCGCTGCATGCCTGACGAGCTCCCTGCCTGCCAGGCTTTCCTCTAGGTCCAGCAGCCACTCGAGAAACCAACGTCTGACCCGACTTTCACACTGTTGTTCAGAGCAGGATCCCTTCCGAGCACCCGGAGGGGACACTGGGTGCAGAAAGTGGCCCCAGGCTGCTCTGCCGCTGTGAGGCTGTCCTCTTAGGGAAGTCTCCTCCTCCCTCTGGGATCCAGGACTCTTCTCGGTGAAATGACTGACTCAGACTGGCTGACCTCCGGGGTCCACTGCTTTTAGCGCTGTCTCTCCAGCCCGTGAGTAGAGACCTGGCCATCCACAAGGCGGGCTTGGCAACCTGGCCCTCCTCAAGATGCCTGCAGAATGCCACCTGGCACATGGCACACCTGGGCGTCCTGCTGTAGGTGAGGCAAGAGGGGTTTGCACAGGGAATAGAGGCCAAAGGCTGTGTCATTACTGACAGAGAGCACGGCGGCCAGAGGAAGGCCCAGGTCAGCAGGTGCAGGATCAACACTTCCTCAGAGCTGAGACGCGACCTGAGGGCCCTGCTTAAGGGTGGACTCCGAGACGCCGGGGCCAGCATGGGGCCCTGTTCACAATCTCACCCTGCTTTGTATGTGGTGTGGCCCTTAGTGAGTGACTTAGCCTTTCCAAGGTTCAGTTTCCTTATGTATGAAATTGAGGTGACAGCACTTCTCACATAATGCGTGGATGAGGACTGTTGCCACCGCTACCACCACTAACAACAACAACAACAACAACAACAACAACAACAACAACACACTCACATCGTCAAATGATACTTCTGCAAGGAACTAAGCAAGTGCAGAGAAAGCTCTTGGCACAGTGCCTGGTGCAAGAAAACAACTGAATTCCCGCTAGAGCCCCCGCCTTCTGCTCGCAGGTTCCTTCTCAGGGATCGGAAGCACCCTCAGGAGATCAGCTGGGCTGCAAGGGACCAGCCAGGACTGCGGTGGAAGGGAGGTGAAAAGGCTTCCGGGAACCTCAGGCCAACTCTAGGGGCCTGGTCATAGGCTTGAGGCGCGGGTGCAGCTGGTGGGCCATGGGGGTGCTGCCCACTGGGACCGCCTGTGCCCGACTCAGCTGCTCATCGAGGGCCAGGCCACATCTCTTCCTAGCCCTTCGGAAGGGCTAAACATTTCTGTGACTGTGCCGTGGCCAATAATTTGAGATTAAAAATAGAAATTGTGTTTGAAGTGGCCAAATACTGGACATCAAGGGAATGCTTGTGTTTATGTATTTAGCTGCAGCTTACAGAAGCATAAAGTTATTTAAATACAGGAAGCCACAGAAGGTCAACTGTACCTTTAAAAATACTTTTAGTAGTAATAGTTAAATATACATGATGTTTTGCTGCACATGGCAATGACAGTTTATCTTGGTATGTTTGACTCAGTTATTTAAACTAAGAAATACTAAGTGACGTAAGGGCTAAGAAAACCCTCTTGTGGGAAGTGGTGCTGTCTCAGGGTCAGTCTGCTGCAGCCAAACCTGAGCCTGGCCACACAGGACACTGTGTGCCAAAGGCAGCCGGGACGTGGACAGGAAGGACTGCCGGCCGGACGCTGCGCCTCACTGGAGCACGCACAGCTTAGCGTACGCAGCGCTCTCACGCATCTTCTGAGGGCCCCTCCAAAGGACACGTGAAAATACCTCTTGGCCTTACTTTGAAAAGCTTGGATTTTAGGTACGTGTTATTTTTTAGTTACAATGACACTCACAGACCCAGCAATACTGGGATGTTCTTTGGAGTTGTGTCCTCTCCTCACAGCAGATTCACTCTAAGCCCAAGGTCCCCAGTCACCAGGAGGATGATGACTGGGATGGAGCCCAAGCCTCCAGGCTTTAATCCAGCCTTCCTAATTTCATACAGGAGAAATAAGCAAATGGAGCAGAAAACCTAAATACCATAAGCAAAACTTATCTTAGGTAATAAAATTTGTGGTGTGTCTTCATATTTTATAATATAAAAGCCAAACAAATATTCTCAATCTAAAAAATGTGTCCAAGTTCATGAAGCATAAAGAAGACAAAAAAAAAAAAAAATCCATAATCCCAAGTTCAAGACAGAATCATTGCTAACAATTCAGCTGTCTTGTTTCTCTTTTCATATGCAACTGAAAGTTTCTCTAGGACAGAAGTCAGGACAACAGAGAGGGGAAGCTCTTCTACAGACTGTCACGTATTTTGAGTACAACACTGCTAAATTTTGTCTGCAGACAATTTTAGTTCCTCGGGCAATAGCTTTGTTTATAGCATAGATCCAGATTAGGTTAAATTTAGTTTGAATTTAGAATTAGAGAGTTATAGTTACAGACAGGAGAGAAGGAGCATCGTGTTCCAAGTTAAAATAAAATGCTAAATGTCACAATCTGGTCACACAGGAGTTCTGGAAAAGTCAGCCAAAAGAGACCTGGGCTGATCTGCCGAATTCTTAAGAAAGACAGGCGGGCTCGACTCATTCTGTCACTCAGACATCTGAGGGTGTGTAACGCCGCGGCTCTGCTGGCAGCAGTGTACAGGTTTAATGTTTGGTTACCAGACAAAGATTAGCGACAGAGGGCTTTTCACCTATGTTCAGGCACTGAATAACGTGAGTGTCCCCTGGACGTGGAACCCTTGAAAAGAAGCGCTGTCTGCTCATGAATGGTGATGCCTGGCTAGGAGCAGGCTACCCCTGCTTCTCCTAGAGTTACGGGTGTCATGCTGCGTGCACCCCGTCCTGCCCCACTCGGGAGAGAGCGCCTCATTTCCGCATGCGCAGAAAGGCCGCGCTGCTCTGCCTCTGCGCAGATCCGGGGCTCCCCTGCCCCTCGGCAGGGGAGGTCACTTTGCACTCACCAACTTGACTGGCAGCCCCGTTCTGCCTCTCGCTGTCATCTGCTTGGCATTTCTTCTTAGCGATCTTGTGGAGAATTGAAGCCTTTTCTCTGAACCTCCCTGAAGTAAGAGAAAGTTGTAGGGAGTAGACCCAGTGAGGGGAAAGACAAAGGAAAGGCCTGGGGCCAGCGGGAAGCCCTGGCAGGACCGGCACGTGGCTTCTCCAGCTGCGCTTGTCTGGAGCAGTGACAAAGCCATTCTGCCCAACCCAACGGCCCCACCACCTGCATGAAAGAACTTTCTTACCTTTGGGGATTCTTTAGCCCATTTCTCCACTTGAGAACCTGAAGGTGCTGGACCACAGATGGAAGGGGAGCTTGGAATGCTTCCCTGCCCTCCCAGTTGCTTACAAGATAAATGAAAGCATCACGAAACTCCACCCCTGCTGCTGTGGTCCAAAAGAGTCCAAAGAAACAAGAGCTGCTCTGGAGACATAGCCATTGGTCTGGAGTTAAATACTCATCCCAGATTGGCTTTCGGCAGCAAGCTGGGAAGGAAAGTCAAGCCCAGGGTCCTTTGATTTGACTTTGGCTTTCAAGCATTGATCATAATTGACATTGCAGTTTCTAAATGAACCAAGAACAGGCATCACAGCTCTCAAATGCACTGAGTCAGCTGCAGGGAAAACCTGAGGAGGCGACTGATTCCACGTGGAGATTTAGGGCAAAGAATGATCAACTGAGCACAGCGAGTCACGCTGGAGATGAGACACTAGGAGAGGTGCGGGGAAGAAGCACCGTCCTCGAAGTCATCACTCCACCGGCTGGGCCGCAGGTATGGCACCCTTCTTCATTAGTGACATATAATTAATGGGCAAGCTCATGCAGCAAGCACAGAAAATAAGCATGCAAAGGTGCAGAGATTAGGAACACACAGCACATTTTCTTTTTCTGCTCCTTGATTTCCTGCCTTGGGAACTCTTGAGATATAAAAGATTCTCATTTTAAACTGACTGATTACTGCCTGCGTCAGATATGATGAGGTCCTCAGAATACCTCGGCCCCTACGGTTTCCCCCAGGCAGCCCCCTTGCAGCACATTAGCAGGCTGCCTCGTTCTGCTTCTCTAGCTAGAGCCAAACCAATCCAAACCAGACCACAGTGCTTCTGCGGCACGGGGCACAGCAAGTTGGCACCAGCCACCTGCCCTTCCTCACGGGTGTGGCGTGCGGCCATATCAAAGGCATGTGCAGCTGGTGTATGGGCCCTTTATCCATGTCTCCATTTGATAACCTAACTGTGCCGGACCAGAGGTGACAGGTGGGGCTTGGAACGCTTCTTCCCCTCCCAGCTGCTTACAAAATTAGCAACAGCCTAGCCAGGGACACAGCCCAGCCAGTGGTGACAGAGACATAAGCTGCATGCCTTTCTGCCTAGAGATTTGTCAGCCACAAGCATCGACACCTTGGTTCACAAGGGCAGCCTCTGGACGCAAGCCCCGCAGTCTAGGCAACGCCTGCACAGCTCAGAGCATATCCTCAAGGGGAGTGCACGGCACAGAGCAAAAGAGACTGCAGGGGATGAGAAGGGAGGGTGAGGCGGCAGCCCGGTGGCCCTCCAAGGGGAATGTGAAGGCCAGGGCGAGGCTCACCATTCTGGAAGGTATTCTGAGCATCGTTGTTTTCACTTATTCTTCAAATTATGGGAATAAAAAGGAAAAGGGAAGAAAATCTAGGTGCTAGGAGAAGGGAAGGTGGAAAAGGAACAAAGAGGGAAAGAGAAAAGAGAAAGGACACAGGAGGAGGCCGAGTGCCGGGACTGGCTGCTGGTGGGTGCAGACAGCAGGGTGCCAGCCACCCTTCAGGGCCAGATCGCGTCTGCTGAGGATGCAGACAAGGAGCAAGGGCGACACTCAGTGCTCTGGGACCTCAGGGCACAAGACGGGCTGGACACCAGGAGGCCCCTAATGATGTGCTTTCCAGTCCAAGAGAGGACCAAGGAGGTCCTGGGATTTATTCTGCAAACAAAATCATCCTCCTGTGGCGCCAGGCTCATATTTTGAGTGTTAGGTCACCCTAGAGCTCTATGAATTAAGGATGTTCAACATTTGCTACTTTAAAGTTATACATAAAAAAGTAATAAAGGAAAAGATTCCGAAGAGGAAACAGGCCTGTGGAAATAAAACCTGAAGCAATAACCAAACCCAAATAATGTCCCAAAGTCATGAAACATGGCAGACCCAGTATTTGCTGGAAATCAGCTAAGCACATGATGTTTGTGGTTATAAGAATCTTTTCAGATCTAAGATGTGTGTCAGAGATAAATGGTTAGAAGAAAACCCCTAAAATATGTAGGGACACAGTCCCCCACTCTTGCAGGAAGCACCCTTTAGTACAGCATGGGCCGCAAGGCCAGTCCTCAAAATTCTCCAGGGAACAACTACATGAACAGGGTGGGGAAGACTCAGGCTGGAGTTCTGGGGGATCTCCACCTCACACACCACGGAGGGCAGTTCTGGGG